TTTGTTATGTATAATTGGAGCCATGTAGCACCAACATGTTGTTGTTATGTTAGTACCTTCAAGTTGGTTCCGACTGATAGCGGCCCTGTATAGGGTTTTACCAATATATTTGTATTTAATCAATAAGCATTGATCAATAAGCATTTACTTCACATTTACATGTGCATCTATTTAGTACTGAAGTACTCAGGATACAAAAGCTAATAACATATATGTTTTCAAGAGATTGCTATTTGTCTAATTGTTCAATAAAACCTTTTTTTTTTTTCTTTTCCTCCTTCCAGAAACTTAGTCAAACTTATGATTACCATCTCCTTTGATGTCAGGCTGTCATACGTCAGCTCTTGTCAATGAAATATATATTATAATGCTGGGTATCACTATCAGGTTTATTATGAAAGAAGATATATATATATATAACAGAAACAAATCTAAACAAAAAGTAACATATAGGCAATATTCTCTTCCAGTATGCTGGTTGGGAGACAAGATCTCTGCAGATCTACTGGGAACAAGATGGAAGAGACTGAAGTTCTTGCATTACTGCTACTAAAACCCTCTCTTCTTTTGGACTTTTGATTATCAGTGAAATTTGTCGCAGCCCTTGCCTAAATAATACATGTTTCCCCAAGAGACTGTAAATTTTCTGGGATATAGACAAAAGAATTAAAATTGTGATAGATTAAAAAAAAAAAAAATGGCAGCGGCAACTCAAAAGGTTCCATGGGAAACCTAAAGGGCAGTGAGTTTAAGATCACTGTTGTTAAGTGCCGTTGAGTCAGTTCTGACTCATAGCAACCCTGTACAGGGTTTCCAAGGAGTGGCTGGTGAGCTTGAACTGCCGACATTGAGGTTCAAATTGACCTTGTGGTCCAGTGTATTAACCCACAGCACCACACCAGGACTCCTTTAAGATTAACAGTGGTAGAATAATTTGGGAAAAGATAGAAAGGATGGTAGCACAACAAGAATAATGCAATCAATGTCACTGAACTGTACATGCAGAAATGGTTGAGATGGTGTATCTTTAGCTGTATGTACTTTCACCAAAACCAAAACAAAACAAACCCTACTGGAAAATCATACTTTTGCTGCTGCTGTTGTTAAAGTGCCATTTGAGTTGGTTCTAACTCATAGTGACCCTATATAGGGTGTCCAAAGAGTGGATGATGGGTTTGAATGACCAATTTTGTCATTAGCAGTCCCATGCTTATCATACAGCACTACACCAGGACTCCAAAGTCATACTTAGCAGTGAATATCTAGGTGCATTCCCTCTACAATCAGGAACCCTTTCACCACTCCTACTCATCCGGGTGAAAGACACTTGTCAAGGAAATTAAATGACTTAAGTACACACTGGAGAAAATAATTTCAAAACACATATCTGATAAAGGACTTGTATCCAAGATGTGTACAAAGAATTCTTAAAATGTAAAAATAAGAAAACACAAATCCAATGGACGAATGGACCATCAATCTCCATGACTCTGAGACCAAAACTAGATAGTGCCTGACCACCACTACCAACTGCTCTGAAAGGGATCACATGGATATAGTGGGAGAGGATGTGGAACAAAACCCAAGGTCATAAGGACGACTAGGCTTACTAGTTGGATAGAGATTATTGGAACTCCAAGGCTGTGTGCGGTTCTTGATCACACTTCAGGTATTAAACTAAACTCACCCACCTGGCTCAATTTTCAGCCAAGCAATAGACAGATTTATGGAGCAGACAATAACACTAGTGAAGTCTGCACATCATAGAATTCAAGATCAAAGGGCAGCATTTCCCTAAGGACAAAGTTCAGAAGTTTAGGGAAAGAAGGAGGAATGAAAACAAGAACCACAGGGAGGAAGTTGGGTAAGTGAGGTTACATGGAGGGGATTGCATTCACTGAGATGAAACAAAGTGTGTGATTTGTTGAATGTAAAACTGATGATCTGCTCTGTAAACCTTTACTCAGTTCACAATTAAAAGTTCTTCCTTAAAAAAGTCAGTTAACAAAAGGTAAATATCTGAAAAGACACTTAGCCAAGGAAAATATAGAGATGACAAATAAGCAAATGAAAAGATGGTCTAAATGGTATGTCACTGTTTACTGTTGTTGTTGAGTGCTGTCGAGTCAGTTCTGACTCATAGCGATCCTATATAGGTTTTCTGAAGAGTGGCTAGTGGCTTGGAACTGCCAACCTTGTAATTAGAAGGCCTGTTCTTATCCTACTGCACCACAGCAGTAATTTGTTGTCACTATTAAGTGCTGTCAAATTGGTTCTGACTCATAGCGACCTTGTATAGGTTTTCTGAGGAGTAGCTGATGGGTTTGAAACACCGTCCTTGCAACTAGTAGTCCATTACTTCTGCAATCGCACCACACCAGGACACCAGTCATTAGAGAATTTAAAGTGAAAAGAACAATAAAATACTACTACTGTTGTTGTTGTGAAGTGTCATCAAGTTGGTTCCTGTATCGGGTTTCTGAGGAGCAGCTGGTGAACTTGAACTGCCAACCTTTCAGTTCAAACCAACCAGTGTATTATCCTACAGTGCCACACCAGGACTCCTTACATACCTATTAGAATAGCTAAAATCCAAAGCACTGACAACATCAAATGCTAAAGAAGTTGTGAAGGAACAGAAACTCTCATTAGTTGCTGTTAGGAATTCAAACTGGTACCACCACTTTGGAAGACAGTCTGGCTGCTTCTTACAAAGCCAAATACAGGTTTACCATATGAACTATCATTCTACCAAATAAGCTGAAAAGTCATGGCCATATAAAAACTCACACATGAATGTTTATAGCATCTTTAGTCATAGTTGCCAAAAATTGGAAGCAACCAAAATGTCCTTCAATAAATGAATATACACATTATGACACAGCCATACAATGGAGTATTAGGCACTAAAAAGAAATAAGCTAATAAATTACAAATAGAAGGAGTTATAAATGCATTTTGCCTAGTGAAAGAAGTGCCCATCTGAAAAATCTATAAATACTGTGTAATTCTAACTATAAGACATTGTGGAAATGACAAAACTATAAAGACAGCAAGAAGACCAGTGGTCCCCAGGGCTTCATGGGCAGAAGGCGAAGGATGAATGTATGAAGCAGTGGGCTTCATGTATGGTATTTTGATGAAAGTATGGGCATGTTTAGGCAGTGAAACTATTCTATATGATACTCTGGATAGTGTATGCATGATGTTAAACATTAGTCAAAACCCACAGAAATGTACAACCAAAGAACGAACCATAAAGTAAATTGACGGCTTTTGCTAATAACAATGTATTAATATTGGTTAACTGATTATTACAAATGTACCACACTGATGAACAAGAGGGACTATACGAAAACTCTCTAATTACTACAAAATTTCTCTGAAAAAAAGTGTGCTTAAAAACTGGTTAAAAATTGCATAAAACTAAATACACACAAATGACTGCATGCCAAACTGGTGAAATGTAAAAAAGTTCCATGAATTGCATCAAAAGTAATTTCCTACTTGTAACATTGTACCACAGTTATTATATAAGATGGCCCCATTGGGGGGGGGGGGTAAAACATATACAGCATCATTATGTATTATTCCATGTAACTACATGTGAACCTGCAATTATCTCCAAGTAAAAAGTTTAATTAATTTTTTAAATGGAAAGTCTCAACTATAGATGACTTTATTTTGTGAGTGGTGGGTATATAGGTATACACTGCAATATAATTTAGACCTTTCTGGAGGTTGTAAATATTTAAGAATAAAAGCTTTTAAAGAAAGAGAGGAAACATATATATATATATAGAAAAGTACAAGCATATAAGTAATGTGTAATACCTAAAATGGTGCTTGATGCCAGAGTGTGGACAAGGGACAGATCATAATGCCTTTATTTTCTAAATGTAAGGAATCTGAACTTTTTCCTGAAAGCTTCGGGAGAGCCAGGGGATGATTTAAATAAGAGAAGTAACACTATCAGATTGGTCACACTCACAATGGACAACTCACTGACCTTCAAGTGGCACACATTACCTGCACTATTTGCTTAGAGCCCCTCAAGTCCCAGGTCAAATACGACCTCTGTGTTCCTCACAGTCACATTTTTTTGTTGTTAACTTTCACATGCATACAACTCTTCCAGTTGGCTGTGATTACCTTGACTATGTTTTACCTTTGTATCCTTAGCATAGCTCTACCTGTAGTAAACCTTTACACTTGCTTATTGAGAGGAGAGCGAGTGACTACAGGCACCAATCTGAGGGAGTACAGACTACAAAAAGACCAGGTGTAGAAAGATGTACTCACAAAATTAAAAAGCACTCTGTAGCCTTATTATAAATCTCAAGTTACCCAAACATCCAGATTTGCTACAGGATAATCATTCAGAGGAAAGCCAAAGAAACAATAATTTTTTTATTTTAAATTTCCATGAATTATACATCATGCAACAAAAAATTAAAGCTGTAACTCTTAACTTGCCTAAGGAAAGTAAAAGTAGTAAAGGTAGAAATTTTGTAACATAAAGGGGGAGTAGTTGATCTTACATTTCTGGAACAGAGGACCCTAGGGCCATCAAGGGAGAAGAGAATGAGTGGAATGTGGGACCCTATCTAAAGAAGTGGACCAGAGATGGAGGTAGAGGTGACAGTGTGGAGAGAGGGAGCACCTGAGGACTCTAGACTCATGGAAAGAGAAAGGCTATGTGCTGGTGACCAAGAGGCTGGTTTTCAGAATGTCCTTTGGCTGTTTAAATGATTATATATTCTTGAGTGTTTTTGTGCACATCAACAAAACAGAAAAACAGAGGTAACAGAAGCAAATACCATTGAACGATGATGCATGTAGGGGACTGTAATCATTGCAATGAAACAAAATAAAACAGAATAAGTACGAAACCCATGTTCTCCCATGTAAACTATCACTCAGTTCACAATAAAAGGTTTTGTGTTTTTTCTTTTTCAAAGTAAAAGTAAATAACTTTCATTCATGTTATTTTATCTTACCAATATAGAAGTAAGGGTTTTACAACCTCAGACTGAATACTTATTAAATGTTCTTCATTCCACTGAGATCCACTGAACAGTTTAAGTTTTGATAAGATTTCTGAAGAAAGGTAATAATCTCCATTGCTCACTAGATAGCATTTCTTCATCTTCTCAAGATGTCTGAAATAAAATATATACATTTATACAGAATACTGGTACAACCGTCAGCTAACCAAATGTTATAATTTCTCAAATGTGTCATACAAGTAATGAGCGCTATCAAAACCAACATTCGGTTACAGGGTTACTGAACTTTTATTTCTTTTTATTTGTTAATTTTTTTGGTACCAAACATTTTTAAGAGATGAAAATCTGTCTCACAATCACAGAAATGGGAAAGGTATTTGTGGTAAACTGAAGAGTGTACTCACAAAGGTGTTCACATCCTAATCCCTAGAGGCTATGGATACATTATCCTACATGGCAAAGGTATTTTGTAGATAAGATTAAATTAAGGATTTTGAGATAGGAGATTATCCTGGATCGTTTGGGAGCACCTAATGCACTGTAGGATAAGCACTGAACTGCTAACTGCAAGGTCAGCAGTTCAAACCCACCAGCCACTCCTCAGAACCCCATACAGGGTCAGTAAGAGTCTGAACCTACTCAACGGCACTTAACAACAATAACAAAGTAATCATGCAAGTCTGGTGTGGTGCTGTAGGATAAACACTGGACTAGTAACCACAAAATCAACAGTTTAAACCCACCAGCCACCTCAGAAATCCTATGGAGGATCATTGGAACTGACTCAATGGCACACAGCAGCAACGTATACATAAGAGGCCTTCCTTCCAAGAGAGAAGCAAGCAGTTAGACCAAAGTCATAGAATAGAACAGAAGGAGAGGTCAAAGAAGAGAGAAAATGCTACACTGATAACTTTGAAGATGAACAAAGGAATGTAGGTGGCCTCAAGAAGCCTGAAAAGGGCAAAGAAATGGATTCTTCCCTGGAGCTTCCAGAAGGAATACAACCCTATAGAGCCATTTTAGATTTCTCACCTCCAGATCTATGAGAGAATAAACTGGTGTCACCTGAATTACTAAGGCTATGGCACTGTGTTCCAGTCTTAATCATAGGAACTAATACTGTATTAAGGAGTTCTGGTAGCATAGTGGTTACGAATCGGGCTGGGAACCTCAAGGTCAGCAGTTCGAAATTACCAGCCGCTCCGCGGGAGAAAGATGAGGCTTTCTGCTCCCGTAAAGATTTACAGCCACGGAAACCCTATACGGGGTCGCTATGGGTCGGAATCGACTCGATGGCACTTAACAACAACAATACTGTATTGGCTCTAAAGAACCTACGTAGGTTGTTTGCCTTTACTTTCCCTGATATATCTTGAAAAGAGATAGTAGTCTTTTACCCCATAAGATTATGCTTCACAGTCCACCATTCGGTGACCCATGCTCTTCTAATGCAGCACAACAATGAGGTCTATATTTTGTCATTAAAATAACAGCACTATTGTTTTTTCTGGAGTGTTACAGAGCCAAAATAGAATAATTAACTTGAAAGCAGCATTGGAATTTCTGGGGAAATAAAATAATTGCTACTATTAGTATCCGAAATCTATTAAATCAGAAAACTAGTAAAATTCATACTCATTATCATAATAAAATATATTTTATTCATTCCTCCGAAGTATAACTTACACTGATCTTTTAAACTAACTCAATTCCAGCTTTCTGTTTGTAATAAAGTAGCCCAGAATAATAGTACATAATTTGTTTTAAAAAGTATTAAAAATAAAAATACCTTTGATGTCTTTCAGAATCTTTAAGAACTTTTAGCCTCTCAATATCCATCCATAGCCACCAATATTTCTCTCCTAATGTACCTTTTATAAATTTCTTAAACCTTTCAAACTCTTTTCTACTGCCAATGTCATAAGTTCTGTGGGAAACACACCAGTCAGCCCTGCTCTCTGGCCCAATGCTTTCACTCTTTGAACTTAAACTTGTTAGTTCTACATTTTTTTCTGACTTTTCTTCTGTGGTGTGACCTGTTTCATCCATAAAAACATTCTTGCTAAGGACAGGTTCATAAACATTGTTGTCAAACACTACTTGTCCTACTTTGGCAAAGTTTGTGAAATCTGAGCTATCTCTAAGTGGCTCTCCAATAAGTCTCTGAATGGCTGCTCTCAAAATAAAGGTTATGTAAGCTCTTAAAAATTCTTCGTAGGTTGGGAAATACACTGTCAGGCTTTCATCAACATCCTCTTGCTTTTCAAGGTACACTCTCAGAAGAGCTTGAGAAGGGGTGTCGGGTAGAGCTACAGACCCTTCTTCTTCTTCAAATTCAGAAACTAATTTAGTGGTTTTAGATGGGTCCTTTTTTGTCCTGGAGTGAATTCCATCATCAAAGATAAAACTCTCTGTATTAAATCAAAAGAGATCATTAGATTCTATATGAGTACAAACTTTTATAAAAAAATTAAACATTCTATCTCATTTTTTGAAGCATTGTAGCTCTGTAGGGATAAGCACTAGACTTCAAACTCATAAGGTCAGCAGTTCAAACCCACCAGCCACTCTGTAGGAGAAAGATGAGACTTTCTGCTCTGGAAAAGTTCACTAGTTTCGGAAACCCTATAGAGGGTCACTATGAGTCTGAACTGACTCTATGGCACTTAACAACAATAATATAATTTTTGGACAATTTAATGGGTGGACCAGTGTCTTAAGAAAGATTCTAAAGTCATCTTTGTGGCCATCAGGGAAAAACACTGACAACAGGGATAAGCTAAGTCTTCCCTGAACATGGATAATTACAACACATGAGCCAAATATTTGATATTCCTGATAAAGAATATGAAAAACCAGGGTTTTCACTCAGTTCTTCCTGGTGCAGTCATGGCCTATGAAATGAAACTAGAACAGACTCAAACTTTTAAAATGTGGGTGTATCAGAATGGGAACTGAAACAGGAAACATTGCAGGTAGATAGATGCCCTGCCAGAAACTTAATCTCCCTCTTAGAAAACAAGAGTATTATGTACATTGCATAGCAACCGAATCTCTTAACCAGAAGAGTCATAAGTATGGTATCCCTCTCAAAGATGACAACTGACACCTGTTTTGGCAGTGAGCTTCTGAAGTCCCACGTCAGGCTCCTGAAAGGGAGGATTACTATGCCCCTCCTGAGTCTCCCCATTCCAGATCTGTGACCCAAATTTCCCCTGTTCTGATTATTATTCTAATACACCTTCGTTTTACAAATTCAGATCTGTTCCAATTTCACTATGTCATCCATGACTGAACTGATTCCAACAGGTTAGAAGCCCTGTCAAAAAGGCACTGTGGTTGTTATTGGGTGTTGTTGAGTTGGGCACACATAGAGACACCATGAGACAGAACACAACGATCCCATAGGGTTTTCTAAGCTGGAATCTTTACAGAAGCAGATTGCCAGGTCTTCCTGATGCTGGGTGGTTATGAACCACCAACTTTTCAGTCAGCAGCCAAACGCTTAACCATGGTGCCACCAGGGCTTCTAATAATAGACACTTTCAAAATGTATGATTTCAGACTGACACAGAATGTCAATGCATAAGTTCATTAAAGAATTAAGCAATTGAATGTAATTTTAAATTTCACATAAAATGATAAAGGAATATTAGCGGCCACAGGTTAACAGAAAGTGGAGTCAGTATCAGCAGTTTTTTTAAGATTCCATTCTGTCATACTGACAACGTATCACACACTACAATTGGATTTTCATGCTTTTTCTAAAGGCCTTTAACAAGACTTCTCCTTCAGAAACCAGTGGACTATCACTGGCTTACAGTGCTTTATTTCACATGACAAATCTGCCCGCAGCGGAAATGCTACAGACCAGGAAACTCCATTATTATTGTGTCCCTCTCTCAGGGTTTTTAAATCTCAACAAACTGGACACGTTTCATTATAACACTACCTAAAAGAAGTCTACCCAGGTTCCCCAATATTGAAAGACTGGACTGTTGAAAACTATGAAAAACTCCTGGGCTGACGCTGGCCCCTGCAAGTTGCAGGGAGGCTGAGGGTGGGAGCCCGGCTGCCGTTTTGCTCACCACCCCGCTGCCACTCTTCCTCTTCCTGCTATCTTCACTCTCAAATGTTCTGCTTTATATTATAAGGAAACAGCAAGGACCCTGTTTGCTTGTTGCTGTTGTCTAGTACTGTCCAGTTGGTTCCCACTCATAGTGACCCTGTATAGGGTTTCTGAAGAGCAGCTGGTAGGTCTGAATGGACCTTGTAGTTCGAAGTCCAGTGCTGATCCTACAGCACCACACCAGGAGTCCTTAAGCAATCTATAAACCCAGCTATTTTCAATTACGGAGACTAAATATATCTTCACTTTGGTTTGGGTTCAATTCTAGAAAATCCTAATTATTTTCCAAAGAATTATTTTTTTCTAAGGGATTAGGTCAGAACTGTTAAATTCCTTTGCCTGAATTACATCTAGATTTTTTTTCTCTCTCTAGCAAAGAGTTCAGGTAATGCAGTGGTTATGAGTTAGGCTGAAAGCCTCAAGGTTATTAGTTTGAAAATACCAGCTGTTCTGTGGGAGAAAGATGAGGCTTTCTGCTCCCATAAAGATTTACAGCCTTGGAAACCCTATGCAGGGTTGCTATGAGTCAGAACCGACCCACGGAATATACCACCACAGCAATATTATATGTTAATAATCTCCAAGTTGGACAGTTCCTTTTGTTTTGCTGAAAATATTGTATCATCCACCAAAAGCCCCTCCCCTAGTAGAGCTTTTCAAGCTAAAAAAAAACAGTCCGAACAATTTACTTTTATGAAGTAAATTATTTACTTTTAAGCAGAGACAAACATTGCCCACCTTATTTCAAAGATTCAATAATTTGTAAATGTGACAGGAAATGAAGAGAAGGCAAGCATTTATGACTGCCTGTTAAGTACCAGACATGTTCTACACACTCAGCATCTCGTAGTATTCTAAACTTACAGATTGGTGGTGGTGGTGGTAATGTGCCATGGAGTCACATAGTGACCCTGCAAAGCATTTCTGAGGCTGTAAATCTTTACGGGAGCAGAAAGCCTCATCTTTTCCCCACAGAATGGCTGGTAGTTTCAAACTGCTGACCTTGAGGTTAGCATCCCGACTAGTAACTACTACGCTACCAGAGCTCCTTAAACTTACAGATTAGAAAATAAAAACAAGGCTCAAGAAATCATCCAAAGTATCCAAGTTTAGTTTTAAATTCAGAGTCTTTACACTATACCAATTTGCCTCTTAAAAAAAACAGAAGGAAATGGAATACAGGGGTAATTTTTCTCCCTAACCATTCATTTTTCTATAAGATTAGAACAAGAAAGACTAAAGAGGAGTTTTGAAGTCATTCCTGTTCTCTGCTTACCAGAAACAGATGAAATAAGTGGTGATCCAGTTTGGCTGTGGGGCACACAACAGGGTAATGAAAAGGTTGTTACTGTTTGCTGACTCTGTTTTGCTAATGTAAACCAATCTTTTGTTTGAGTATAGGAGGCCTAGGAAGAAAAGAGCACATTTGTTTAATATAAGACTAGCAGTGTTCTTCCAATCAGAAGCCTAGACCAATCATTATAATAATATTAAATTGAAGCACTAAAATATATAAAGGAAAAATGATCCCTTGCCAAATTTTTCTGGTGGTTATACCAAGAGATCAGTCATTATTCAGTGGTAGAATTATCTCTTTCCATATGGAAGATCCATTTCTATTTCCAGCAATGTACCTCATATTTAGCCACCACCTGTCATGGAAGCGTGCAGGTTGCTATGATGCTGAAAAAGTCTCAGCAAAACTTCCAGACTAACTAGGAAGAATGAGCCAAGGAAAACTTTATGGATCACAATGGCATGATCAGCAAGCAATCATGGTGATGGTGCAGAAATGGGCAGTGTTTTGTGCTGTTGTGAATGGGACTGCTGTAAGTCAGATGTCTAATCCATGGCCACTAACAACAATATGCCAATTTTACACTTTGTGTATCAGAGTTTTAATTGCTCCACAATTGTGTCAACACTTGGGGTCAGTCATTATTTTTCATTTTAGCCACTCTAATGAGTATACAATGGTATCTTATTTGATTTTAATTTACATTTGTACGATGACTGATGATGTCTAGCACCTTCCATGTATTTATTAGCTACATAGATAATAGCTTTACTGTGAAATGCCTGCACAAGGTTTTGTTCACTTTTCTATTGGCTTTTCTGCCTTTTCTTGTTCTCTTATCTTTTGTCATATTCTGGATATGAATCATTTGTCAGACATTCCATTATCTTTCAGCCCCATTTTCCATGAACTTTTTGAAGTCTCCTCATACGTATTTCAAAAATCTTCTTGCAACTGTGTCTTGTCTTTTCACTCTCTAAACTGTGTCTTGATGGATGTCATTGTTGTTAGGTGCAGTCAAGTCAATTCCAACTCATAGCAACCCTGTATAAGGTTTCTGAGACAGTAAATCTTTGTGGAAGCAGAAAGCCTCACCTCATGGTTCAAGTCCAGTGCTCATCCTACAGCGCTACCAAGTTCCTTGACGGATTTAAATTCTTAATTTTAACATAGCTTCCCTTATCCACAGTTTCCCATCATTAGTGACTTTTGTGCTCTCTCTTAATAGATTTTTGTGTGACTCAACCAAGATCCTAAGAACCCAGGTTACTCAAGAGAAGCACAGAAGCCAGAGTCCAGTGTTACTCCCATTCTCCTTTCTCCATCGAACTGAGTCAGCCTGTTGACACTTAGGTTAAGGAACACCCACAGAAGAGATGGAGCTCAAGGGAAAGAGACATGATTCCCTAAGTCAAGACACAGCAAGACCAAAAGCAAGACAGAGAGAAATACAAATGGTCACCTGTGTAGTCACTGCCTCTCTCAGAACAGGGCTTCCTAGGTGGATAAAAGCTTCCAAAGGGAGTAACCCATTTTGCTGCCTCTTGCTTTCCTATAAAGTCATTAACTTACTGTTAACTATGCTCACATGTTCATTCAGTACAAGTTTATTGAATGATTATTCTAAACAGTCTCGTAGACACTGAGAGAAAGGACTCTCAAGTTGCTATCTCAACTGTTTGAAAAGAATGAGGGAGAAGAGAAGAGACTAAGAAATACTCAGACATGAGAGTAATTATACTTCTGAGAGATGGGCCAATTATTTGTATTTAGATGGTAACATTGATATCTTAAAGAAATAGCTCCAACTATCATAAATAGCTGCTAAATGAAAAGTTGGCAGTTCGAACCCACCAGCCACCCAATGGGAGAAAGATGAGGCAGCCTGCTTCTATAACGATGTCCAGTCCAGAAACCCTGGGGAGCAGTTCTACTCTGCCCTTATTGGGTCACTATGAGTCAGAATCACTTTGGCAGCAGTGGACTTTATCATAAACATTAATTCCTATCTACTGTGAAGTGGGTTATGCATTGGGCTGTTAAATGTAAGGTCAACAGTTTGAATCCACCTAGGGAGAATGATGAGGTTTTCTCCTCCATTAAAGATTTACACCCTAATGGGGGGAGATGCACAAAAACGCCCAAACTTGCAGATAGTACCCATTTGATTTAGCTTTGATGGCTTGATGATCAGAGCTCAACTAAAGGAAGATAAAGAAATTTGATAAAGGAAGCAAGTGTAAATTGCTACAATTTGATGAACTTGACCTATACTTATGGATGTTGTTGTTGTTGTTGTGTGCCATGGAGTCGGTTTCGACTCATAGCGACCCTGTACAGGATTTCTGAGGCTATAAATCTTTACGGAAGCAAAAAGCCTCATCTTTCTCCTGCGGAACAGCTAGTAGTTTCGAACCGCTGACCATGAGATTAGCAGCCCGATTCGTAACAACTACGCTACCAGAGCTCCTTATACTTATGGATGTAATAACTCTAAATAACAACTGAGAGGGAAGGAGTCTTCACATCAGGGATCAAGCCTGTCCCCTTGGTATACACAGTTGATAGAGATGGGCAACTTAGACATTGGCTACCTAAAATGGGGGAGGGGTGTGCTATAAAGGTATGAAGTGGCTGGTTTACAACTTTTCAAGTGGGAGTTTAGTTTCAGAGTGTGTGGGGTAGGTTAGGTAGAATCCCCATTGAATACTTTTCATCTTGTTTAGCTAGGTCTGGTGAAAGGAGATGGGGATAGGATTCTTTTGATTCAATAGTGAGTAATTGTTATCATGACTAACTACAATTGTCACAACTGTAAATGTAGAAGTTTGAAACATAAAGGGGGAAGTAGTTAATCTTACATCCCAGGAACAGAGGACCCTACTACCATCAAAAGAACATGAGCGGAACGTGGGACCCTAGCCAGAGAAGCAGCAACACCAGAGATGGAGGCAGAGTGACAGCATGGAGAGATAGAGCAGCTGAGGACTCTAGATTCATGGAAAAAGAAAGGCTGTGTGCTGGTGGCCAGGAGGCTGGCTTAGAGAATGTGCCCTTTGGTTGTTTAAATGATTATATATTCGTAAGTGTTTTTGTGTACATGAAGAAGAAAAAAAAAAAAAAAAACCAACCCAGAGGGAATAGAAGCAAATATTGTTAAATGATAATGTACGGAGGGAATGTAATCATTGCAATTAAATAAAATACAATAGGATGAATGAAAAACCTATGTTCTCCCATGTAAACTATCAGTCAATTCGCAATAAAAGCTTTAAAATAAAATAAAAAGATGTACAGCCTAGAAAACCCTATACAGGGTTGTTATGAGTCAGAACTAACTCAATCATCACACCAACAGCATTGTGATTTAAATAATTTAAGGGCTCAAAGAACTCAAACACAAAGAAAAAGGATAATATATATAGTTAAATATATATTATTTAATGTATAGTTAAATATATTATTTAATTATTGATTAATTATTAGTTAATCAAGTGAACAAAAATGAATTTTTCATCTCAGAAAATAGAAAGTAAACTAGCTTAGATTTTACCCGCTTCTTGTATTTGATTAAATTCACATGTCAAATAAGCCAAAATGTATTACCCTGGAGTGATTCTTCCCTTTTTTGTTTATTGGCCTCTATTATTAAGACATATATTTTATGACATTCCTGACATCTCTATAAGGGAAAAAATAATTTAAAATATGTATAAGAAAGTAGAAAAACATGCCCTTGTACATAGCTGAGCATTACTCTGTGAAAATAATGGAACAAGCATAATTTTAAACATGTTGGCCAATTATTACTGAAATAAGTATAAAATTAAATAGGAGATAAAGATTAGTCTATCCATTCCAACAGACTGGTGAACAGGTTTCCTCTAACATGACACCCTTGAACAACTGGAAGGGTCTGCCCAGAGGGCTGTGTTGCAAAGAACTTGAAGCTAAGCTCTAGCTCAGCAGGAAAACGGCCAGGATTCATTAGCAACATCTGTCACGGATGGAGACTAGAGAAGAGCCCACACATGGGCCACATATTTGCTATTAGTCATTTTGTGTAAGATCTCATCAACTGCTGTAAATTGTGTGTATTAGAAGTGTGTTCCCATAGTGGAGCAAACAGTAGGCAAAATGATGAAAATGTCTTAGATATTATTAAACTTCTTAAAGCAATGAGTTGCTAGGTCTGGGGTCTCAGGGAACACTATGGTCAATTGGTATAACATAGTCCACAAAGACATTGTTCTATACCTTACTTTGGTAAGTAGCCCCTAGGATCTTAAAAAGCTCATGAGCAGTCACCTAAGGTACAACTGTTGGTGTCTTCATGTGCAGAAGAAAGAACAGTGATGAAAACTGAAGATGCTTGTAATCAATTATTCCAATGAAACAATGGAACATGTGAACATCAGTCTCCATGACTCTGAGATCAGAAGAACTAGATGGTACACTACCAATGAAAGGGACTAGGTCAGAAGGTCCTGGATACAGTGGGAGAAAATGTAGAACAAAACTCAAAATCATTTTTTTAAAAAAAGACTTGGTTTACTGGTCAGAAAGAGATTATGGTTCTTGACCACCCTTTAGGTCTGGAAAGGAACTCACCCACTTGGCCCAATATTCAGCCTACCAACAGATATAAGTATATGGGGGGCAAGGGGGGGGGAAACAACACACTAGTAAGGTATGTTTATCATGGAATTATTCAAAACCAAAAGGGCAACATTTGCCTAAGGACAAAGGTGAGAATGGATGGGATTGTGGGTGGCCTGGAAATAGGAAGCACAGGGAGAAAGTGGGATAACTCTTGTTGCAAGGAAGGCATTGCAATCATTGAGATGAAATAAAGCGTATGATTTGTTGAATGTGAAATGTGATCTTTTCTATAAACCTTAGCTCAATTTACAATTAAAAGTGAAAGAAAGAAAGAGAGAGAGAGAGAGAGAGAGAGAGAGAGAGAGAAAGCATGTTCCCAGAAAGAACACCTGAGAATTAGAGGACAAGATCAAATAACAGTTTTCACTATATAATGACTCTCCAAAAGGACATACTACTACCTAACAGATTTCCAATTACAGAGGTTAAGTTTCTCTTAGAATAACAGTTAAACAGTAATTTATTCCATTACAGAGGGAAAGTACAGACAATAATGAAAGATTCCATTTATTATTTTTTTAGAACCAAAGTAATAAAAATTCTCTATTGTCAAGTTGATTCTAACTCATGGCGACCCAACGTGTAACAGACAAAAGTGCTCCCGACTATTTTCTTGGCTGTAATCATTATGGAAGCAGATCACCAAGGTTTTCTTCAGCAGCACCACTGGATGGGTTTGAACTGCCAGTCTTTAAGTTAGTAGCCAAGAACTAACCATCTGTGCTACCCAGGGACTTGACAAAAGCAACAGGATTCAAGTAGTAAACACTTTAGAGTGAGCAATGAAACCATGGATATAATTCCCAGGTTGCACTGAATAAATTCTTCAATCCTGTTTTTGTTCCATTGTACATATGAGGATACTATTTCTAACTACATTTTCAGGTGAAAGAGTACAGAGTAAATGAGTCAACAATCTGCAAGAATGGCTAAATCTGCTTTAGTAGAGTGGTATTTGAAGTCACTTTTGCTATTTAAGTAGTGCAGATGAAATTCAATTGCCTAAGCTGAGACAATTCGCTGAAGTACCATCTCTCTCTCTCTCTCTCACACACACACACACACATGCAAACACAAAACTCATATGTTTACCTCGCCAAGAGAAATGTAGAACTTTTTCATAATTATTAGATTTTCTTCTTCAACTGGAGGAGGTGGCAAACTGAGTGGTTTTGGCTGGACCCAGGGAGAAAAAGCTGTATCTAATGTGACATTCGTGCCTGATCCACTCCAGCTTACTTGTGAGACCAACTTGGCTAACCTGTATTTTAGAAATCATACAATCTTGAAATAAGTTTCAAGCATGGCAGAATTTAGAAAGACAAAAACAAACACCACTTAATTTTATTTTATGTATTCAAGTCAAACATCCCTCTTAAATGTGTAGGATATAGTCTCTTAGGCTCTGCTAAAATTAGTGGTTTATAGAACATTAGTAGAGAATTCACTGTTTTCATGTATTTGATTTTGATTTTTTACATGATAATCAAAATTTGGTAAAATTTTAGTTTATACATTTTAAGACAGGAAACATAAAGGGATAATAAGACCCCCACAATGACGTTCTGTCTTTTTCATGACATTTTAAAATGCCCATAAAAATCATTATTACCAATAGATACAATAGTTTTTAAAAACACAACTGGACTACATTTACATACTGTTTCTGTGAAGTATCTTTCGAAAAATTAACTGATTTTTGCCTATTGCTCTTATTTTATAGCAGGCAAGATTAAAACACAAATGAGTTAGAAAATATATAATTATACTGAGAAGGTACAGAAAAATTATTTTACGTGTAGAAAAATTATTTTAGGTGTACAAAAGTAATAGCCATTTAAAAAATATGTACATTGATGGGTCTACAATACCTGTATTCAAAGTAACAGTCGCTTTCCAGAAAAGCTGGGAGTCTTTCTTTTTTTATCCACTTAATACCTTGTTCACGACTAAGACACTGTCAGTGGAAAAATGAAAAGAGGGTCAAACAAAATCCTCTTCAAGACAACTAAAAACCAATTACAAGAGCATTAATCCACTCTAGCTATCACTAGGAGACCTACTCTTACCTTCTCTGAAGGGGGCCTCAAAAAGTTCATGAAAAAATGGAATTAAAAGAGGGAGCAGTCACCCTAAACCACCAATCTCAGACTGCTTCTTGCCTTCTGGTACCTCTTAAATTCTCTCAACAACCCTGCATCAACCATTCCTATCTCCATTTTACTGATGAGCAAATAGCAAATCCAGAAAAGAAAACTGACTTATTGAAGGAGTGGTGGAGGGGAAAGCCTGTCCCAGTTTTTCACAGTCATGAAATGGTTTTGGTTGTTTTAAAATCACAATCAGAGAAAAACTAGCCAGGAAAGATTCATAAGGCCCTTATGAGCACTGCAGCCTCCTTGCTTCTTCAAGTTTCAAAAATATTTGTTAAATATTTAACATTGCCAGGCACTATCCTAATATGAAAACTGAAACACCTGCGCTCAGTGTATAGACACTCAATATGCCACAACAGTTGTCTTACTAGTGCCACGAATACAGACTGCTATGGGAGCCCATGTGAGCATGAAAACCAGGAAAGGCTGCCTACAGAAAATGCCACATCTGACCTGAAACATGATTAGGCTGAGGAAGGAAGCAAGAGAGGTAAAAACATAAGCAGAACTAGATGATGGTGTGCAGTCAAGTTGGTTCAGCATAGGGTTTCTAAGACTGTAAGTCTTTACGGAAGGAGCTCTGGTAGCGTAGTGGTTATGAACTGGGCTGAGAACCTTAAGCTCAGTGGTTCGAAACTACCAGCTGCTCTGTGGGAGAAAGATGAGGCTTTCTACTCCCGTAAAGATTTACACCCTCGGAAATCCTGTACAGAGTTGCTATGGGTCGGAACCGACTCGACGGCACATAACAACAACAACAAGTCTTTACGGGAGCAGAAAGCCTCATCTTTCTCCCGTGATAGTTTTGAACTGCTGACCTTGGGGTTAGCAGCCCGACTCGTAACCACCACATTACCAGAGCTCCTCTAACTAGATGGCAGGATGAAATTTGAGGGATGAAGCAAGGAAGACTGGTGAAAAAGGTTAAGTACTGATCAGGAATGTTACGAAATTTTGCCTTGAGGTTGTAAGGGCAATACAAAATTGTTGAAGAGTTTGTTATAGTTGCTATTCATCCTAAAACATTTACCCACTAGTGATTCAGCTTTTTTCTTATATTCATTCTTCCCCAGAACTATAAAGAATGCCAGTACCTTGGACACTAAACAACTGCTACTAATAAACTGCCTATCTCGCTAAGGCTAATATGTCTACATTGTTGTGGCTTCTTTTTGTATTTGACTATCTGTGAAAGCATTAACTGTGATGTGGCATTAGCAACAGAGTCAACTAACTCCAGTGAAGAAAAGGAATGCACACACACAGGAGTGTTGCAACATCTGATAAACTGACGTTGACGAGAGAGCGCATGTGTGTGCAAAGTCATATGGTACAAAATCATTAGGCTTCCCAGAGTTGGAAACTGAGCATACAGTGGTTTTCTCTTGTTCAGCAAAAAGAAACATCCACTTGCCATCACCAAGCACTATCTTCTGGGTAATAAAATAGTAGACAAAACTATAAAAACAGTACCTAAACAGTAGCATCATATTAATTACCGTGCATTGCTTATTAGTGAGATCTGAAGGACATTTGGACCTGATAATTAGAAAGACTCCACATATGGTATACATTGGCAATCGTGCAGAATTCTTGAGTTCTCATTAGCAATAATGGTGTTATTGTTAAGTGCCATTGAGTCAGTTCAAACTCAGCGACCCTGTCTAGGGTTTCCAAGGAGCAGCTAGTGAGCTTGAACTGCCAACCGTGCAGTTCAAACTGACCTTGCAGTCCAGCGCATTAATCGACAGCGTCGCACCAGGACAAGATGGTCAGAATAGTTAGTTCTTATAAAACCAATTTGCCCAATATTTTCCTAATGAATAATTCACTTATAATTAAACACCTTTTGGGCTTTTTGCACGTATTTGTCCTAAAAATGAAATGGAAAATAAAATCAGAAACTGAAGAAAAGTGTTCAGTGTATGCATGTGGTAGATGTGCTCCATTTTGGCAGGTAGACCAAGGTCAAGCAGTTGTTTTTCTGATAGGCCAATTCATAAATTTAGTGTTGTTTCCTTTTGTTGATATACTCATATACATCACATTTTGAATCAGAAAAGTCCATACTTAAGCTTGTCTGTGCATTAGTATTTCTTTATCATTGAATGGTCATGTTGGTGGGTTGTTTTAAGGTACTTGAGAGAAGGGGTAGTGGCTCAATATCATAAATGTAAACCTTTAAAGAAATAGTTGAATAACCCTATTAAACTCTTTTATGTTGTCTTTCCTGACTGACTTTGTAAGCAATTATGTTTTAAATATGACTTATCTCATGGCAAGTCTTAGCATTCTGTTCTACAAAATACACAGTGTGATAGTGAAGGTTGTGTTTGCCTGGGCATGGTTTGGCAGTTAAGACTAGTAATCCCCTATGATGAAATCCAATATAATTTAATTACTTCCATGATGAGATCTGCTATGAGCAGTCAATCAATTCCAAGTAAGTTCCCTTGAGTGTGTGGCCTACTTCCAACATATTGGACACTTTGGGGCAAAGCTTGCTTGATTTTTGCTGGGTCTGGATCCTGAATCTGGTTCCTAACGTGACCTTCAGGTTTTTGGACTGCAGCCAGCAGCCTGCTATATTACCTGCTGGTCCTAGGAGTAATCACCAGCCTGCCATCTTACCTGCTGACAGTGGATACATTTGCCTCTGCAGTCAGGAGACCGCCATCTAACCTGCCAATCTTGGGTTCATCAGCCCCTGCAGTTAGGTGAGTCAGGAGAAATCTAACATCTGACCCATGGACGACAAGTATGTGAGGCATTTCCTTTATATAAACCTCTGTGTGTGTGAGTTCTTCAGAGACTTCAGTCTAAGACAAAGAGATTGTACCTCATCACAAGAAATGTCTTAAACACAAAGATTAAATCTGTTATCTACCTTACTTTGAAACTTAGGACTTTTATTCATCTTTTTCATATTTTTTTGGCAACTGCCACAAGAAGTTTCTTTTAGACAGTGTTCCTTCTCAGTTTCCCTAGACCCAGTCACCTCCCTAATGGAATGGCATTCCTGTACCAGGAAGTCAGGTAGCTCTACTAACTACGGCAGTGGCCTCTGAGCCCTTTCTCTACATCTTGACCTTTCACTTTTAGTTCTCTGCTCATTCTGTTTCCCAATTTAGAATTTTGAGGAAATAATCTAATTGACCAAGCTCATCACAGACATGCTATTGGTCAACTGAGCAGAGTTTCCCTGGACAGTAAATACTAACAGACTACAAGAGTTCATTCAGAATGGACTGGGAGATGTTGTGAACAACAAATAGACAAACTTGCTTTTTTGCCAAAATAAAAATTTCCAATAATAACTATGAATTACAATAACTATTGGGGTCCTGGTGTGGCATTGTAGGATAAACATTGGACTGCTAACCACCAGGTCAGAGGTTCAAATCCACCAGCCACTCCTTGGAAATCCACACAAAAACAACAATAATAACTATTATATAGATCATTGTCATTTACCAAAAGAAAAGAAACCCTTAATATTATATATTAAAACCTTTAAAAAATGGAACCATTCCTAAGGTTCATAGTTGGGTAATTAATCTGACGGAAGTTAATACAAAGACAGAAATATATTTAGTTCATCAACAGAACTCAGGAACTCTCAGGTTGGAGTAGAGCTATATCTTAAGTGTCTGATTTTAGTCCAGTTCTATCAGGCATTTTAAGTCAGTAGAGAAAACTATTATTAATTTATAACCTATTGTTAATTTCATTTGATCCACACAACAAACCTAAGTAGTAGGTATGGAAGGCATCATTTGATAGAACATGACAATAAAAGTCATCAAAGTGACTTGTTCAAGATACAGAGTTAGTAAGTTGAAAAGCCAATATTAGCACCCAGATCTCTTGACTTCACACTAAGGAGACAAGATCCAAAAGCTAAGGTAGAATTTACGACCTAGAAAGCCAGAGCTACACATGCAACTTGAGAGTGAGAAATCTCAATTCCCAACTGCACAATGAATGCCGTGTTGTTCTTAAGTGCCATCGAGTCAGTTTCAACTCATAGCAACCCTGTATAGGGTTTCCAAGGAATGGATGATAGGTTTGAACCACTGATGATCCAGTTCAAACAGACCCAGACATAGTGCATTATTCTGCAGCGCCACACTAGGACTCCTATACAATACAATTGGTTTAAAAAACCCAAAGGAAATAAATTCCTGTATACCCACATTTTCTAGAATTCATCTAAACTACAAAGTAAGGAATATACATGTTTATACTGCCCAAAATTAACCTCATATTCTAACTATTCAAAGTACTGATAATTAAACATCAACAAAACTGCTATACTAAATTAGTCATTAGATCTGAACAGATGTCATAGCATCTAACAAATGTTATGTGTAAATATAATAAAATTTGATTAATACAGTTAATATTTCATGAAGGGAAACTCAGGGAACTTCACGTCAACCTCAACAAATGCTTTATGTATCTGGCAAAACATAAACTCAAATATATTTTCTTACCATAATATTGTAGTTGACATTAATGGTCTCATCTTCCAAGGGGGCATGTGTTTGACAAGGTTTAACATCATTCTTTCCCTTCCTTGTGACATCATAGATTGGATTGCGAGGCTGTTGGTTTTGTAGAATTTTTTTCAGTTGTTTTTCCAGAAGCTGTGGAGCGTTGTTAACTACTTCAAAAACTCCATAATCCGCATTGAATCTAATTGCCTCTGAAAAGGTCTGCAAAATAAATGCAAAAATATTAATCCTTTTAATAAAAATACCCAGTCTCAAGGAAATCTTGATAACTTACATATGCACATATATAGAAGCATAAGATTTCATTTACTTGTTCAATTCCTCTTCCCTTTTAAAGGATTGGAAATTTCTTAGCTAAAGTAAGGAAACCAATGAATCTTCCCTTCCCAATATCCTTCTCCCATGAGGTAAGTGCCAAGGTGTTGTTGTTAAGTACCTTGGAGTTGGTTCTGACTCATAGTGACCCTGCACAGGGTTTCCAAGGCTGCAAATCTTTATGGGAGCAGAAAGCCTTATCTTTCTCCCGCGGAACAGCTGGTAGTTTCGAACTGCCGACCTTGAGGTTAGTAACCCAATTCGTAATCACTATGCCACCAGAGCGCCTTTCTCTTTCCTTATACTTTTACCTCTGTGCCTCTTGGGAGGGAGCTATATACTGGATCTCTAAGACGTAAGGTGATTCTCTTAGAGCAGGGTGTATTTACTAGGGAAGAATGAGTAAAGAAAGAAGAAATAATGTTTCTTTTATCTCTCTCATCACAAAGAGTCATGAAAACTAACAGTATCAATTTCCCAAACAGAGAAAATTAAGTTCAATGTGGTCTTCATTTAGATTATTTCAACACCATTCCTCTCTCAGTGTGACAAAAAGAGTGAAAGAATAAAATTCTAAGCTTTTCTCAGTAACTATTTATGAAATGCTGCCAACTTTTCTGTAAAGCCAGCTAATATCCAACAGCATGATGTAGTAGAAAGAGAACTAAGTCAGGAGATCTGAGTTGGAATGCCAGCTTGCCAATAAGTAGCTCTGTGACTTAGGGTAATTCACTGAACATCTTTGGGACCTCCATCTCCATAACAGCAAATAGACTGTTATGAGGATGGATTAGTTATGTCTTTTCCCATTTTGGCCTCCAACTCTAGAATCAGGGTCCTTTTTCATAATGTGAATTTATTTTAGGGTACCTTCCCTGATGGCACTGTAGGATAAGCACTGGATGTCTAACCACAAGTTAGGCAGTTCAATCCCAGCAACCACCCTAACTGCTACATGTGTTGTTGTTGTTGTTGTTGTTAGGTGCCACTGAGTCTGCTCCGACTCATAACAACAATATGCAAAACAAAATGAACCTCGACCCAGTCCTGTGCCAGCTTCACAGTTGTTATACTTGAACCCACTGCTGCTGTCACTGTGCCTATGTATAGATTAACATAAATATGTTTAGTCAATGGCAGAAAACACTAAATGCCTGAATCAGTAAATGTCCTAGGGAGAATTTTAACTCTTTCAAGGTTTACTAAGGTATTACTAGATACATTACTGTCATAATTTAATAAATGGCAGATATCATTTTAAATTGTTGTTGTTGTTAGGTGCCTCAAGTCAGTTCTGACTCATAGCCACATATGCACAACAGAACAAAGCACAGCCCAATCTTGTGCTGTCCTCACAATTGTTCTTCGTTTGAGCCCATTGTTGCTGCCACTATCAATCCACCTCATCAGGGTCTTCCTCTTTTTTACTGAAGCTCCACTTTACCAAGCATGATGTGTTTCAATAGAGACTAGATCTCCTGATAATATGTCCACAATATAAGAGACAAAGTCTTGCAAAACTGACTTCTACGGAGTACTCTAGCTATACTAATTCCAATGCAGTACTTTTAATATTCTTCTCCAACACCATAAATCAAATGCATCAGTCTTTTTTATTCAGTGTCCAACTTTCACATGCATATGAGGTGACTGAAAATACCATGGCTTGAGTTAGGCACACCTTAGTCCTTAAACTGATTATCTTTACTCTTGAACACTTTAAAGAGAATTGCCTAATGTATGCACTTTAAAGAGACTTGCCTAATACAGCAGAATAGCCTAATGTAATATGTCCTTGGATTTCTTGATTGCTGCTTCCGTGAGTGTTGATTGTAGATGCAAGCAAAATTAAGTCTTTGACAACTTCATTATTTTCTCCATTTATCACAATGCTATTTATTGGTCCAGTTGTAAAGATTTTTGTTTTTTTTTACATTGAGGTGCAATCCAAATTGAAGGCTGTCTGTCGTCTTTGATCTTCATCAGTAAGCCTTTTATTTCCTCTTAGCATCCAACAAGCAAGGTTGTATCATCTATATGTTGCAGGTTGTTAATGATGCCACATTCTTCTTCATATAATCCACCTTCTCATATTATTTGCTCACCATACAGATTGAATAAACATAGAAAAGGATACAACCCAGGCACACACCTTTCCTGATTTTAAACCTTCTGTATCCCCTCATTTTAGTCTAACAATTGGTTCTTGGTCTTTGTAGCGGTTCCTCATGAGCACAAGTGTTCTGGAATACTCATTTTTCACAATGTTTTCCATAGTTAGTCATGGTCCATATAGTCAAAAGCATTTGTATAATCAATAAAGCATAAGTAAACATCTTTCTGGTATTCTCTGCTTCCAGTCAAGATCCATCTGATATTAACAATGATACACCTTGTTCCACATCCTCTTCTGAATTTGGTTTGAATTTCTGGCAGTTTCCTGTCCATGTACTATTGCAACCATTTTTTTATTATCGTCAGCAAAATTTTACTTGCATGTAATATTAATGATACTGCTCAATGATTCACATTCCATTGGGTAACCTCTCTTTGGAATAGACACAAATATTGATCTCTTCCAATCAGTTGGCTAGGTAGCGGTCTTCCAAATTTCTTGGCATAAATGAGTGTCTCCAGTGCTGCATTAGTTCATTGAAAGATTTCAATTTGTATTCTGTCAATTTCTAGAAACTTGTTTTTGCCAATGCCTTCAGTGCCACATGGATTTCTTCTTTCAGTATCATCAGTTCTTGATCATATACCACCTTTTGAAATGACTGAACATTGACCATTTCTTTTTGGAAAAATGATTCTGTTTATTCCTTCCATCTTCCTTTGATGCTTTCTGCATCATTCAATATTTTACTCATAGAACCCTTCAATATTATAAGTCAAGGTTTGACATTTTTTTTCAGTTCTTTCAGCTTGGGAAATGCTGAGTGTATTCATTCCTTTTAGTTTTCTAGTGTCAGTTGTTTGCACATTTCATAATAATATTTGACTGTTTTCTCAAGATGCCCTTTGAAATTTCATATTCAGTTCTGTTACTTCCTCATTTCTTCCATTTGCTTTAGTGTCTCTATGCTGGAGAACAACTTTCAGAGCCTATTTTGACATTCATTCTTGTCTTTTCTTTCTTTCCAGTCTTTTTGCTGTCATCCCACAACTCTTCTGGTCTTCATTCATTAATATACATATAAAATAATGATTCATGATGTGGCATTGTCAAATAAGCATTGGATTACTAACTACAAGGTCAGTAGTTCAAATCTACCAGCCTCTCCTCGGAAACCGTATATAGGGTCACTATGAGTCAGAACTGACTTGACAGCACTTAACAACAATAACATATCTCAGATAATATTATTATTTCTTATGTCCGCTTATCTCTCCTTCTAAGGAATTTAAAGTGCTCAGACAATAGAATCCAAGATGAATGTCAGTCTACAGTCTAAAATGGCCTCAAAATGGCAAATATAACTCAACAAATAAACAGCAATAATTAGTGTTAAATTATATATAAGGTTTCTTCAATAAATAGATTTCATTGGGTGCCCACAGCATCTGTCTTTCAAACATGTGATTCCAACAGTTACCACTTGCCTAAATGTCATAAAATATTGTCCTTGCATCACACTATCACTAGACTAAACAGTAGTGATCAATTCATCTGCTGAAAACAGAGACCAGATTCATCTAGTTGGGGAAAGGAACTGAATTCAACTTGGTAGGGAATAGACATCAAACATTAACTGAGGTGAGGAGAATGGAGCAATATAATGCAAAAGACCACCTGGAAATGATTTCTGTCTAGCTCTGAGTACTCATGAAACAGGAGAACAAGCTTCACATTTATTTACTGTTTTTCATTCTTTTTGATGCCTCCTATCCTCAAATGGAGTCCTGGTGTGGCGCTGTGAGTTAATGTGCCAGACTGCAAAGCCATTTGAACTGCAAGTTCAGCAGTTCAAGCTCACCAGCTGCTCCTCAGAAACCCTATACAGGGTCGCTATAGGTTGGAACCAACTCGACGGACTTAACAACAACAACATCCTCAAAAATGGAGTCCTGGTGTGGCATTATAGGATAAGCACTTTACCATAAGGTCAGTTTGAATCACATGGTCAGTGGTTCAAAACCACCAGTCACTCCTTGGAAACCCTAT